AGACTCTGGGGCCTATGGTAACTTGTATGCCTGCAGTATGCCTCCTCTTAGTCTCTCAGCTTCCACTGGGGCCTGCTCCATGTGCCTCCCCTTCCCAAACCATTTTCAACCTGACAGCTAAAGTCATCTTCAAACCAGGTAAACTTTATTTTGGGTCAGTGAGCAGCCATGGCAATACCACTGCAGACTGTGTATGCAGCCTATGGATGGCCTGCCTCTCTGGGCTCTCCCACTGGCCCACATGTCTTGGCCACATCAGTTCCCCTCTTCTGTCTAGGAGATTTCATAGGTATTTCATAGGTATTTTCTCTTCCACTGCAATTCTCTTTCATCTGCTTTTTATCTAACATCCACGTATCTTTCAGGTGCCAGCTTAAATAGTACTGCCTTATAATACTTATCCTTGAATCCTCTAAACTGGATCCTGTCCCTTCTCCACTGGTCTCTCTCAAGGTGTCCTACTTTTCTTACCAGAGCACTTATCACAACTTATAATCATGAATGTATTTGTTTTTAATTGTTTTGTGTGGGACTTCCCAACTGCAATATGCTCCATCAGCATAAGGACAATGTTTGATTTTGTTAATCACTGCAGACTTAGAACCTGGCCTAGGACAATGGTGGATGTTTTTTCCCCGTTAGTGAAAAGGAGGAAGAAATGCAGGACAAGAGATTAAAGGAAAGGTCAAAGGTGAAAAGAGAAAATAAAATATCAAGGTACAGAGAAAGAAAAGTGCTCTTTCCCTGGCTTCAGCTCAGTGGATTTTCATACAACTATAATGCACAACAGTTATTAAAACTATAAATGGGAGGGGGTGCCTGGCTGGCTCAGTCAGGTAGCATCTGACTTTGGCTCAGGTCAATCTCATGGCTCATGAGTTTAAGCCCCGCCTCTGGCTCTGTGCTGACAGCTCAGAGATCTTTGGATTCTGTGCCTCTTCCCTCCTCATGCTGTCTCTCTTTTTCTCTCAAAAAAACAAATATAAAGAAAGATGTTAAAAAACTATAAATGGGAGGTTCTGTCCTTCCGGCTTATTGTCCAAACACAAGACCACTGAGCAAGTTGTCTGAATTGAATACCCTCACAAAAAACTCTCCCATATCAACTCTTGACAGGCAAGAAAGAATGTGCATCTTTAAAGGATAAAATTAAATTGTTTGTCCCTAAGTTAAACATTTGAAGGAGAAAGGAAGCAGATGTTTCAGAAAGGGTGAAAGAAAAGCAATGTTTTATGGCAACCAGCAATGGAATGGGAGTGAGGTAACGTGGTCCAGTTTCTGCTCTGCCAGGAGGTAGGGAGTTACTAGAGAATTCACTTACTTTTTCTTTTCCTCACTTTCCTCCACTATAAATTATCTCCAAGACCAGTGTTCCCATTCTACCAAAAAAAAAAAAAAAAAAAAAAAAAAAAAAAAAAAAAAAAAAAAAAAAAAAAAAAAAAAAAAAAAAAAAAAAAAAAAAAGCCTGTTACTTTATTAGTCAGGCGCTTATTTAACATTAATTCAGTATACAGTGGATCTAGATAAAGGTGGGTTTGGACTCTGAACAATCTGCCTAGATTAGTGTTAGGGAGTGTCTTTCAGTTGGGTTTTTGTTCTTTGATTTTAGTGATTTATAAAACCTAAGTTTGTGTCGGTTATTCAGACCTATAACACTTTGAGACCTTGTGGAAATGTTTTCTTTGCTAGCTTGAGTTAAAGGAAGTCATCCAGAAGACCAAGGGACAGGAGGCTCTTAGATGTGATATTTCTGAAATCTAAAATATATATTTGATAATGTTTTACAGCTCAGAAGAAATGAGCCTCTTCACTGAATCTATGTGACTCTGTTCAGTATTGACTGGCTTCAAATAAATTTCCTTTAATTTTCAAAGTTGGCAATGATCTGGCTGTCTGCCATCAGAAGATAAGCTCATCCTGATCTTAAAAAAGCTATCCTGCTAAAGTACAGGGAACAGGCTGAGACGACATCTATGACTGAGGTGCTAAGTTAAGTCAGATATAAAACTCCTCACAGTGCTCCATGAAGAGTCATCTGACTTCATTTGGGCAGAAAAGGGAGAATTATTATGGCAAAATATCTACTCTATGTCATAGTCATTTCTTTTTTTGGAGGCCTTAATTTCTTGGGACATGGTACTTTCTGGGACTTTACAGAAAACACAGTGATCAAAGCTGTCTTTCAGTTCACTGGTAGAAAGATCTTTGGATCTTTAGAGGATAGCAGGTTATGACAAGAGAGCAGACCTGGTGCTGCCTTCAGTGTAAGGTGTCACTGTGCAATTTCCTGTCTGCTATAGACAGGAATTTCCTGTGTTGCACAGGGAGTGTTTGCACCCAAAGTCACAGGTAGAAACTGCAAACAGAAAAGAAAGGAATCTTCCAAGCTATGAACCTAAGACTTTTAATTATGTTTTCTCTTATGTACATGCTACATGTGTATAAATTAAAAAGTCTACAATAGAAAACATATTGCCAACCAATTCTCCAATGCACATATTTTAATGTGTTTTTTAGTAGATATATTAGCAAAGAATTAGTACAAGGCTAAGTATAATTTTACTTCTAAACTAACTTTGTGTGTAAACTGGAGCTTAATCATTGTTATAGCATTATGAATCTATAAAATATTAATAATCAGTTACACAATAATACCTTTTTGTGCCCCAAAGACATCTCAGAAGTCTTGTCCTCAAACCCAAGCTCAGATGTTATGATCTTCTGTTCAAAGATTCATTTTCCGATATAATCCAGTCAATTCTCCTCAGGGCTGGGTACTTTTACCACTCCTGCTGCCCAGGGTGACCTGACCCCTCTGTCAGCTTTAATCTAAGGACAGCTTGGTCTAACTCAATTTTACCCCCTTTCTTTCAGCTCCATACTCTCTCCGTAATCCTGGCATTTTGGGATTCTGTATCTCATGATGTTATTTTTTTTGCCTATCGTATAAGTGTTAGCAAATAAGAAGCTCTCTGAACTTAGTTTCCTTAATTGTGAAATAGGACTAATATCCTCTAGCCTCAGCACTGTACCATCTCATGTGTGCTACAGGAGATACAGCACATACGATGCATATGAATTACATCTGAATAACTGAATGCTACTTTCTTCTTTTTGAAGTTTATGCCTGGCTTTTTTTCAATCCACAACTAAACACAGTTTCATTTGATATGTCCCAGTGTATGTTCTAAGGTACAAATCCAAAGCATTCATTAATGCCAACCACTGGCAGCAATTCACCAGACTTTGGCTTCCAGTTCTTATATACACGCTCAACAAGTAAAACAAGTACCACCAAAGGAGCTGGAGGGACAGACTTCAAGGTGCCCGTTGTTTGTGATTACTCATAATTAAGCAAGCTTACTGTCAGTTTCACCTTGCCTTCTCATCATTGTGACTCAGTCTCCATTGTCCCCAATCTTCTCTGAGTGTGTGGTTTGTGTGCTGGGATAGAGAAGCTTTACCAAGATCATCATTGCCTAGCTTACTCCGTATTTCCTTCTCCAAAGCCTAATGCTAGATACATTCCATGAAAAAGGCAAAACAAAAAACAAAACCTATGTCTGATCTATAACTGGCTCAGGTAAAGTTAAAGAGTACAAGATTCGTCTATAGCTATAAGTCATGTTAAAAACCTTAAAAATGATAAAATCATTTCACACATACACATATTCCAAACAAAATAATTTTTTTCTATAAATCCAAAAGAAATATTCTCTAACTACACCTAAAGGAGACTTTTTGAAATTCATAGGACTTTCAAATAAAGTGCCCATCCACCTGCAGAGGATTCATAACTAACACAGAAATATTTCCTGTTACTCCATTTGAATGGTATCAGAAGGCACTACAAGAGTAGGATATTGTCATAATTACTATTTCTCAATATGTTTTATTTTAAAAGTAGATAGAAAAAAATGATTGATGAACTGATATCTATACTTTTAAATTCTATTATGTTATAAATCCATCTCACTGCTTTGAGGGCAATTTCACATAGAAAGAAAGAAAATACCAAAATGTTACGCCAAGACTCTGACATAAACTCTTCAGTCAATGAGATGACTACAGCTATTTGGAAAAACACAGGCAGGGCCTAAATATGAGTAGAAAGATGTCATTCCCACAGCTAGTATAAGCAAAGTACTTTCAATTATGGGTTTCACCCATGTAGCTAGCTAGCTGCACTGTCTACCAGGTAGCCACTTGACATGTGGCTATTTAAATAAAGTTAAGTAAAATTAAACTTAAAATTTAGTTCCTCAGTTCCACTAGCCATATTTCAAATGCTCAGTCCCCATATGTGGTCACTGGTTACCTCACTGAATAGTACAGATATACAACATTTACATCCCTGTAGAAAGTTCTATTAGGTAATGCTGATATAGATTAGAATAGCACTCTCTGAAAGCCACAGATTTACTAACTGCCATTTATTAACTTAGGTTTAAAAAAATGTTTTTTAATGTTTATTTATTTTTGAGACAGACAGAGAGACACAGATCATGAGTAGGGGAGGGGCAAAGAGAAGAGGAGATACAGAATCTGAAACAGGCTCCAGGCTCTGAGCTGTCAGTACAGAGCCCGATGCGGGGCTCAAACTCATGAACTGTGAGCTGAAGTTGGATGCTGAACTGACTGAGCCACCCAGGTGCCCCAGTTTACTTAGGTTTTTAAGATATATAAAACTTGATAGATATTGTAGTGGTCTTTTTAGATATCATAATCACATATCTTAGCTTTTCTAGAACAATACCAGTATTTCTTGTTTGTATTAATTCCAGTAATATGAACTTTTAAAGGTAAAAATAAATGCAACAAATTAAATTTTTAGTAGGACTTTTTATATTATTTAATAATTTGATGCAAGAAAAAAACAACCCCCCACCCCAAAAACTCATATATATGGTGAATGTAGGCAAGAATTTCTACTTACTCTAGGAAGAGTCTTCACTTTCTTTAAGTGACTCTAGCACCCATGCCTGTGTCTTGTCACTCACCGAACTCTAGATGGGTCTGGGCCAGATGGGACAGCTGAGCCACCTCCCTGCTGATTCCTGCAGGGAAGAGAGTAAACTCTCTGTACCACCACTCGGACGTCAACTCCTGACCAGGTGGCAGCTCCCTGGCTTTCCACTGCATACAGAAGAGAGCCCCTCAGGGTAGCCTGAGCTGGGAAGCACTGCTTGGTTTCCTCTTGTCCATGGGTGCAATCTGTCCTCATGGTAGTGAGACCACCACACATGACCTGGCCAAGACATGCAAGGGAACAATCTCAGTTTAACTAATAACAGCATGGTACACACCAAATCATGACATTCTTAAGCAATTCTCTGATCTAACTGTAGAACACCAAAGGAATGATGAAGATAAAAGACATGGACCTCTGTGTCTTCTGGTATCTAATGCTGCTAAGGGTGGCAAGGTGAGAAAGAATAACATGGAAAGAGCAAAAAGTGTTTCTAATCAATGGAAGCACAGATTATCCTGAGTCTTTGAAAACATGAAGAAAGTCCTGCTATTACAATACTTCATGATAATTTAGAAAATTCTTCTTTTTTGAGGTCGCAATCCCAGCAGGACTAAAAAAAACAAAAGAATGACTAGGGGTTAAAAAATAAATTATATTGGGGCGCCTGGGTGGCTTAGTCGGTTAAGCGTCCGACTTTTGCTTAGGTCATGATCTTGCGGTTCGTGGGTTAGGGCCCCGCGTCGGGCTCTGTGCTGACTGCCAGCTCAGAGCCTGGAGCCTGTTTCAGTCTGTGACTCCCTCTCTCTCTGACCCTCCCCTGCTCACACTGTCTCTCTCTCTCTCCTAGAAATAAATAAAAAAAAAAAACATTTAAAAAAAATTAAAAAAATAAAAATAAAAATAAATTATATTATTGGGGCACCTGGGTGGCTCAGTTGGCTAAGTATCTGACTTGGGCTCAGGTCATGATCTCACAGTTTGTGGGTTCAAGCCTGCTTTGGATTCTATGTCTACTGTCTCTCAAAAATATATAAACATTAAAAATTTTTTAAAATAAATTCTATTATTAAGTGCTTTTATATGCAGTCTACTAGGCTAGGTACTTTATAGGTTCATGTAGCCTCCCAACAACCTTTACAATAATATTAAATATTGTAGTAAGATAACACTTCTAGTGCACATTCGAGGCACTTTTATTTATGTACTGTACTTCCTTCCATAACAAACATATTTAACCTCACAGCCACACAAGCAGGTAGACTATCATTATTACCATTTTAAAGATAAAAATATTGAGACACAGAAAAATTAAGTATCTCATGAATTTAATATCCTGTAGCTGTTTACAACTATATGTTAAAGCAGTAATGCACTTTGAGCCATAAATTAAATTGATTAGAGAGCCCTCCTTTTCCCATAATCCCCTTCATACACTTCTTTTGATCATCAAAGGGAGAGTAGGCTTGATGACACATTTACAAACAAGATGAAACTCTATCTACTTTCCTTTATATCCCCTGACACTATCTCTCAGTCTCAGCATTCTGCTCAGTGCTAATTCAGCTAACTAGGTGAACCTGAGATAGTGCACCTGTAGTCACAGACACTTAGAGCCTGGAATGGTCCCTGGAGTGCTAAATCCATCTTGATAAATGATCATGACACAGAGCCAATAAAATTCTAAAAATCAGTATATAATTTCAGTGTATAATCTCAAATTTATGCTGTTCTTTTTGTCCCAAGAGATATAGATATAGATACTTTGAAAAAGAAAAACATGACTTTTAAAAAATTTAAATTTAAGCAAAATTCTTAGACAATTACAAAATGAGAATTAAAAAAATGAAAACTCATTTGTTTTGACAGATTAGGATAAAGATTAAAAGTAAAAATCAGATGAAACACTGTGAAAGGTCACAACCAAACGATGAACGGCACTGCACTCTCGCCAGGCGTTAACAATAACAAGCTGTTCTGCCATGCATATTTGCTGAATAACTGAAGGGAAACCAAAGGTAAGCATCTTCACTATACTTTTCAATCTCAATATTATTACAAAGCATAAAACCTCTAAACCAATGAAAGTTTACCTGTTTTTCAGGAGATTTAATTGTTAGACTCTTAAATATAAACATTTGAGCCAAAGTGATACTTCTTCTTGGAAGGGGTGTGTCCCAAGAATGCACTGCATGTATTATTTTTGAATCTTCTTTGGCAACAATTTTCTGACAAAAATAAGTATTCAGAATAACAGGGCAACTTCCATTTGGGATAATAAGCTTTTGCCTGGAAAAGAGAAAGAAATATAACAGTTTATTTACCATGTTGGACTCCCCTCATGTTCTTGCTAAATCAGGAATACAAAGGGCAATGACTCACCTGCTATGGAAAGATAAAACTAAGCCACCCCATTAAGTGACAGCTACAACTCAATAGATAAAGAAGATGTGGTTCATATATACAATGGAATATTACTTAGCCATTAAAAGAATGAGATTTTGCCATTTGTGACATGAATAGACTTAAAGGGTTAAGTGAAATAAATCAGCAAAGATAGACAAATACCATTTGATTTCACTTATATATGGAATCTAAAAGCAAAAACATTGGTCTATGTGTCTATTTTTGTGCCAATACCATACTGTCTTGAAATGGAATAGAACTGAGAACTCAGAGCTGGACCCAAAGGTATACAGCCAACTAATCTTTGACAAAGCTGGAAAGAATATCCAATGGAAAAAAGACAGCCTTTTTAACAGATGGTGTTGGGAGAACTGGACAGCAACATGCAGAAGAATGAAACTAGGGGGCGCCTGGGTGGCTTAGTCGGTTAAGCGTCTGACTTTCGCTTAGGTCATGATCTCGCGGTTCGTGGGTTTGAGCCCCGCGTCGGGCTCTGTGCTGACTGCCAGCTCGGAGCCTGGAGCCTGTTTCAGTCTGTGACTCCCTCTCTCTCTGACCCTCCCCTGCTCACGCTGTCTCTCTCTCTCTCTCTCCCAGAAATAAATAAAACATTAAAAAAAAAAAAAGAATGAAACTAGATCACTTTCTCACACCATACACAAAAATAAACTCAAAATGGATAAAGGACCTGATTATGAGACAGGAAACCATCAACACCCTAGAGGAGAAAGCAGGAAACAACCTCCTTGACCTCCACCGCAGCAACTTCTTACTTGACACATCCCCAAAGGCAAGGGAATCAAGAGCAAAAATAAACTATTGGGACCTCATCAAGATTAAAAGCTTCTGCACGGCAAAGGAAACAATCCATAAAACTAACAGGCAACCAATGCAATGGGAAAAGATAGTTGCAAATGACATATCAGATAAAGGGTTAATATCCAGAATCTATAAGGAACTCACCAAACTCCACACTCGAAAAACAAACAACACAGTAAAGAAATATGCAGAAGACATGAACAGACACTTCTCCAAAGAGGACATCCAGATGGCCAACAGACACATGAAATGATGCTCAACATCCCTCCTCATCAGGGAAATACAAATCAAAACACTGAGATACCACCTCACGCCGGTCAGAGTGGCTAAAATGAGCAAATTAGAGAACTCTAGATGCTGGCGAGGATGTGGAGAAACGGGCACTCTCTTACACTGTTGGTGGGAATGTAAGCTGGTACAGCCCCTCTGGAAAACAGTGTGGAGGTTCCTCAAAAAATTAACAATAGAACTCCCCTAGTACCCAGCAATAGCACTGCTAGGAATTTATTCAAGGGATATGGAAATGCTGATGCATAGGAGCACATGTACCCCAATGTTCACAGCAGCACTCTCTACAATAGCCAATACATGGAAAGAGCCTAAGTGTCCATCAATGGACGAATGGATCAAGAAGATGTGGTTTATCTATACAATGGAATACTACATGGCAATGACAAAGGATGAAATCTGGCCATGTGTAGCAACATGGATGGACCTTGAGGGTGTTATGCTGAGCGAAATAAGTCAGGCAGAGTAGGACAAATATCATGTTTGCACGTATAGGAGGATTAGGAGGAACTTAATGGAGGACCATGGGGGAGAAGAAGGGGGGAAATAGGGGGGAAGGGAGAGACGCAAACCATGAGAGACTCTTGAATGCTGAGAACAAACTGATGACTCATAGGTATGGGGGGGGGAGTGGGGAGATGGGCATGGAGGAGGGTACTTGTGGGGATGAGCACCGGGTGTTATAATGGAAACCAAATGGACAATAAACTATTTGTAAAAATAAATAAATAAATAAATAAACGTTAAAATAAAAAAAAAAAAGAATGGGGGAGGGGCAGAGAGAGAGAGGAAGACACAGAATCAGAAGGAGGGTCCAGGCTCTGAGCTGTCAGCACAGAGCCAGACCCAGAGCTCGAACTCACAAACCGCAAGATCATGACCTGAGCTGAAGTCAGATGCTTAATGGATTGAGCCATCCAGGTGTCCTGAGTTATACACTGTAAATGGATGAAGTGTAGCTCAATAAAATTGTTTCAAAAATAAAAAAAATAAATAAAAGCAAAAACAAACAAACAAAAATAGCAACAGTCTCATAAATACAGAGAGCAAACTGGTGGTTGTCCGAGGGGATGGGCTTACAAGGGATGGCAAAATGAGTGAAGGGCATTCAGAGGTTACAAACTTGCAGTTATAAAATGAATATACCATGAGGATAAGAAGTACAGCATGGGGAACATAGTCAATAACACTGTAAAACTTTGTATGATGACAGATGGTAACCTATCATGGTAAGCACTGTGTAATGTACAGAATTCTCAACACTATGTTGCACACCTGAAACTAACAGGATATTGTATGTTGACTACACTTCAGTAAAACAAACAAACAAAGGGAAACCCACCCTCACACACTGAAGAATGAATGTCAGTGGAATGAATTCTACTTTTCCAGTGCAAGTCCTGTGTTGGGAGAGGGAGAATGGAAGAAGACCATGTCAGTACCTGGGCTTCAGCTTCCTCAGGTCTCCCAGTCTGGTAGACGGTGGATTTAGGATGCCTCATGAAGAAATTAAGGGAGTGAGCAAAGACTATCAACGGGCTCAAAGAATTGCCCAGACATTAAAAGAAATGGTATTTATAAATAAAACCCTTAGACATATTGATAGCTCTAATCTTTCAAAGAGCATGACATCAAGTCCCAAGAAGCTTCCACTTTCACTATCAAATGGAGCACAGTCACAGAAATGCCTCACATTTAGGTAGAAAAGGAGTCTGGGGACATAACAGACAAAACTCTCCCGGTTCCATTCAAACATCGGATTTGAGAAGACTCTTCAACATTCATTCCTCAAAAGAGGTAATGCTGCTAAATATTAAAGAAAACTTAGGATTCCACTTCTACTCCATTTAGGAGTAGACATCCTTTTCCCTAATTTATCCCATTAAGCACAACTAAAATGCCTGATGTTATATATCAACTAAACAAAAAAAGATACTGACAGGTGGAAAGAAGGCATGCCAGCTAGGACCTAGACCTTGGGGCCTAAGGAACAACATACTGGTGAGCTTCTGGGTTTTCTGTTTGCTGCTTATATCTCAGATTTCAAACTGAAGAACGTAGCAACCTAATACAGTGATGCATACAGATTAAAAAAAAAGCCCCTGCAAAAGTTTATTCTCCCCACCCAAAGGCCAGGCTAGTGAGACACAAAACTTAAATGATTGCTCTATTCTAGACCTCTGACTCACTACCACACACACTAGAAAAGGATGAGCGAGGAGCCCTGACTTGCACTCTCATCAGGCTGTAATAGAAAGTCTCTATAGCCGAGATGGGGTGGTGTGAGAGAAGTCAGGATAGAATGGTGGGACTTCCATTGCTGCAGGCTTATAATGACCTTTCCTAATCAGTTCCCCAATCCCCAACACACACACACACACACACACACACACACACACAAACACATACACACACACACACAATGACACTGGAGACCACCTGGCGGTCTGGACTTCTACTCCCACCTGACATTAGTAATCAGTACCTCTCCCTGCCCCTCTGGTGTATAGTCAGAGTAGCAGTGAGTCAGGACTTTCACCTACACCCAGTGGTACTGTGACTACCCTCTATCCTCACACTTTCCTCCAGTGTTGTCAGTGGAAGCCATGTGGGAAGCAGCACCCCTGGCCCTCCTAGCAAAGTTGATGTCAGCCTAGGTCTAGCAGGAAGCTGGAACTCACATCTGCCCAGCAGTAACAAGGAGTTCTTCACTCATCAAGTATCAATGGAGATAAGTGGGGAATTTAGACTTTTACCTACACTTGGCAGTAACAAGCCCCCCAACCCCAGCTCCCTTCACTTTTTCTCTCAAAGCAATGTCAGACAAAGCCCCCTAAAACTGGCTTAAGTAAGATCCAGATTCTCATATCATAAACCTCAAATTTACCATCTAAAGTTACTTATTATACTAAGATCCAGGAAAAATCTCAAAGAAAAAAAGATAATTAATACATAGCAATGCTGAAATGATACCAGTTTTAGAATGATCTGACAAAGATGCTAAAGCAGCCATTATAAACATGCTTCAATAAGCAATTATGAACATGCATGAGACAAATGAAAAGACAGAAAGTCTCAGCAAAAAATAAGATATTTTTAGAATGGAAATTTTAGAACCAATGAATAAAACAGTGAAAATAACTCAATGGGTTCAATGGCAGAATGGAAGAAACAGAAAGAAATTAGTGAACTTGAAGATAAAAAGAGAAATTAAACAATATGGAAAACAACAACAACAACAAGACTTAAAATACAAGGAACAAAACCCTAAGATCTGTGGGAAGGAAGAAATAAAAAGGGAAAGATACTAAGTTTAATAGGCTTTACTATTTACCCTACTCCAGTAGGGTTTACAAAATTGTATTTATAGGTGAAGCAAAAATTATAACACTGATATAGTTTTAAATGCATGCAAAAATAATATTCAAAATGATATAATTAAGAACAGTTAAAGGGATATAAGAGATAAGGTTTTGGCACAAAAACAGACACATAGACCAATGGAATAGAATAGAGAACTCAGAATTGCACCCACAAATGTATGGCCAACTAATCTTTGACAAAATAGGAAAGAGTTTCCAATGGAAAAAAGACAGCCTCTTTAACAGATGGTGATGGGAGAATTGGACAGCAACATGAAGAAGAATGAAACTGGATCACTTTCTCACACCACACACAAAACTAAACTCAAAATGGATAAAGGACCTGAATGTGAGACAGGAAACCATCAAAACCCTAGAAGAGAAAGCAGGAAACAACCTCCTTGACCTCCACTG